GGTGTTTGGGAATTGTCATATGTGTGTGTACATGTTGAGTCTAGTCTCTGGGTGTTGTGTGAATTTTGTTGTATGTATACTGTGTATATACGTACAATGACAATAAAGAATTCAATTCATTCATTGGGCTTGGCTGAGACAGAATCAGAAATCAGACCTCCCACCAATTTGGAAATATAAAAGGAAAAGAATTATGAATCTAAATGAAAGAAGAAAAATTGAGTGTTGGACTGGCTTGCTCCTCTCAACGAAGAATCACAAGTTAGAAACTTTCCCCTATTAAACCACAACTAACACTGTTATTTCATGACAAACTCAAGACATAAAAGCACCACAATGAATCGAACACGGACAGAGTTTGAGAATTAAGCCAAAAACACTTTAGTCAATGCTCAAATTTGGAACAGGCAATGTTTGTGCACTGGCATTCCTTCCAGACAATTTTCCGAACATCAAACGGCAGGAAATACTATTTGGTAAGTAGTCTCATTTCTCCAATGCAACACGCAACCTCAGACATGGATGAACAGGTGAGTATTCTGCAAGTATGAGTGGCAAAAAGTCGCCCGGAAATAAAAAAAATAAAGCAAAAAGACCAATGTACGAAGGGAAAAAGAGAACGGTAAAACAACAATACCTCTGTATATTTGTTTCAATTTCAGGAACAGTTGGTTACTATTAGTGGAGAGGGCCATCAGGAAAGGTAAGGGAGAAACAGTTACCAAAAATGGTGTAAATATTAAAACGCACCAAATACACGTAGACCAAATGTATCAAAATATATATTTTCAGCTGTAGGACTGAATTTAACAGGAGGTGAGAACTGGAATTTCTGAGAAAAGGGGAACTATTGGTGTCAAGGAGGAAAACTGATATATTATTGCCAGCAGAGAAAATTCAAACACAAATTTCGATACAAAACAGCTTTGTATCTACACGTGAAAATTCAAAATAAGTCTTCATTTTTCCATGGTATTTGGCAACAGGGGACCAAAAACCTTTCCAAGTCCTGATTAAAATAGCAGCCAGTCCCATCATTATTAGAGCATGAAGGTGTGTTACTATTTATGTACTTCTCCTAAAGCCATTTAGCAAAAGTCATTGTCCAGGAAAACCTACCTAACTTTTCTAAGTCTGGCCACCCTCAATGCTTGAAAATTCTGATAATAATCAAGATGAAATTTAATTCTGAAGAGCCAAGGATAAAAATGGCGAATCAGAAAGTGGGGGAAACAGCACACTTTATAACAATAATTCTCAACCCTGCAAACTTTACTGGCTGGGGAATTCTGGAAGTTGAAGTCCACATAGCTGAAAGTTGCCGTGGTTGAGAATCCCTGTACTACAAATTTAGAAACTCTAAAAACACTTCTTGCTAAAAAAAGGAAGCGAATGTTCTCTGAAAAATCACTTAACAAGTTTGTCTGAAGAGACTAACAAAGCTATTGGAGGGAATATTTTTATCGACAAAACCCATTTCAACACAAGTGTGAAAAGACAGCCTGGGTTGACAGGAAGTGTGCGCACATACACAAGCTCACTCAAACCAGATGGATTTGACTTCTTAAGGCTCCAAGGAGAAATGTAAACAAAGGGATACTGTACAACTAAGGTGCTATTTTAGGCGTTTGATAAAGTTACAGTAAAACACCGTTCCCCATCCTTATCACTTATCCCCAATTCCCTAGCAACTCCCAGCTCACATTCTCCAGTGCCAGACCTTCGGTATAAAGGCATAAAATAAATGAAATGAAACTTACGTGGATTTGATGACAAAATACTTTTTGCTGTGCGACTATCTGCTCTTGGCATTGCCTCTCCACCAGGCTGAATAAATGTAGCCACTTGGTCTATGGGAAAATATAAGATTCAGCAAAGGAAACAAAACATTTTCTTCCCTGATGGATTAAAAATTCCATTTGCCCAGATCTAGCTTGGCAATTGTCTGGTCTCTGATACAACTGAGGGTTTCCCCTTTTTGTCTCGAACCTGTTATCTGATACCTGTATTCGGTCTGAGATCTGAACAGAAGCGAAAAGAGACCGAAGACAAAAAGAAAATAAAACAAACAAACAAAAAACACCCGAAAATCTGAATCTAGAGAATTCTAAAGTCCTAGCACGGCATTTAAGATTTCAAGCCTCAATACTTGGAAACAACACATATTAATTTGTTAACTGTTTCTATATTTATTTTTTATATCATGGTGTAAGTTGCCCAAGATCGCTTTTAATGGTGAGATTGATGACATGTAAATTTAATGAATAAATTAAACTAAGAAGGTGAAGTTAGGCTGCTGTTCAAAATAACTGAGAAACACAGGTGGAAAGACTGTTGTGTTGCATACCTCACACTTCTTCAATATTCTGGGGTCCCTGTTGCTTTGAGCATCTTGCATAGATGAAGCCAGCAAACGAACCTCTTCCGTTACTGCAGAAGGACCAACTTTGCCCGAGAAATTGGAGATGACATCTGGCTGGAATAAAGGACTGCTTCTGTGGAACCAATAAAAACGTGAATTATTTATTTACTGAAACTCGGCTGGGCTTTGTTGAACATCCCATTCTTGCTCTGAAGACAATATGGAGCCATGGAAAATCTGCAGGGTTTTTTTTTTCCCCCAGGTCTTTGAGTGGACTTCGTTAACTTGGTTAAAATAAATGACTTATCAGTCATAAGCAGGATTTTGGACAAGCTTAGTAGGCCAGATTGTGCTAAAAATTGAAATTTGCTTTTCAATTTGAAAAATTGGATTCTGAAAACATGATGGAAGTTTAAGAAGCATGATACTGGTTAAATTTCCCACTAACCTGTTGTCACTTATGTTATACTCAACCAAGTTGTGAGCGTTCTTAGCATCAGGGTATGCTGATGGTGCTCCTTGTTCTGGTTTCACCAATCCCAAGTTTTCCATATCTCATGCTTGCAAAGATTGTGATTATCCTTAAAAAATATACATATATTAACTGGCTTTGATAAAATAATTTAGCAAGGAAAGCAAACAAAATATAACTGCTACCGTTGTTTTAAAATGTGTTTAAAATGTGTAAAAACAGATTCATTGCTTGGTCTGATCTAACCACTGCATCATAGGGTTCAGCCAATACTTACAAGCATTTATTTCTTTATTAACACATATACTCAGTGTAGTTTCTTGGGTACCAGAAAACCACTCTACTTGCCTTATATATCCACAACATTCCAGCCAAATGCTCTTTTACTACTGCTGTTTCATCCAGGTGGCTAAATCCAAAATAAACTCTGCAATATGAACAAAGAAAACACAGCTGTGAAGCATCCCTTTATGAAGAAAAAGAAAGAAATTATATTTCCTGCCTGACCTATTTCTTCCTGACCACAGTTCTGTGTGCATGAATTATTTGTAGATCTTAATTTATTCATGCAGCATTCTAAAAATTTCACCTTCCAAAAAAGATTATATATTCTAAATTTCTCTCCTTTTTCAAATCAAGAATTTTAGAAGTGTGCATACTCAGGGTCAGGGACAATTGTACTTAAGAGATAAACACTTGCCAAGTTAGTCTGAAATATAAACGGATGCTGGGAAGGAACATATTCAGCTTTATATATTATATTTTTTCTTCCACTCTTTGTAGGGTAGAATAGACAAGTGTGATTGGACACACAAGGAATTTGTCTTGGTGCAAATGCTCTCAGGGTACATAAAAGATACATTTGTCGAGAGTCAAGAATCAAAAGGTACAACACTTAATAATTCTTTGTAGGGTATGATTGGTTTTGTATATTTATCATTTAGGTCTGTTTCCCCTGTTACAGCCAACTTTTTTAAATCAGCTTTTTAATTCTCAAACATAGAATTAGCAACATGTAACCTAAATACACCAAACAGGAGATGTTATTTATTCTCTTTTGATGGAACAGCGAGGAAGTTGCTTAGTTCACTAAATTGCAACTGTGTGCAAAACAATTTTTTTATCCAAGTTGATCCACCGCTTTCTCGTTTTTCTTCTTTATCAATGTTTCTAGTGAAAGACCAAATAAAGGTATATTTATTTATCTATCCTATTTATTTGTAATATTTAGATTTGTCCATCCAGCTCCTGCTTTTCTGCTGTCTTTTACAGTATCCTTTCAAATTAAAAGAACATGCACAAAATCAATAATAACAAATAACACATCTATCCCAAAAGCTGGAGAAATATTTGATAGGTGGATTAAAAATACCAAATCCAACGTAAACAACTGTCAGTCCTATTGTTTCTCTTATTCTTTTATTTTTCTTATATGTACCCATTTCATGTATTCACAACTATGTATACACTTATACTTATTATCTTGTAAACAATTGGCAAATCAAATAAATAAATAAATAAAATAAGAACCATAATAACAATATTAAATTCTCACCCAGAATGACTCCCAGCAACTCTTTAGACCTTCTCAAGAACCCTGCAAGATAGGCCGGTCTGGCATTCTGCCCTTATTTACTGGCTTCGAGCCCGACCTTTTAAAGAGCCCCACCCCCTCACTCTTATTGGACAAGGCCAGAGTATAAACATCCAGAGAAGCCAGGGATTGGATGACAGACCTGTCAATCGATATAGTGGGGCGTGCCGGGGGGAAAGGAAATGAGGTCGCCCCGCCCTCCCGTCAGAGGCAGTGGTCCGGTCCTCGCAAGGGCGATTCCACCTCCGCCACCACCTCGCTTACCTTCCCCGGCGGCCCCGGTGGCCTTCCGCGCCGCTCCCGCCAGGCGAAGGCCGAGCCGGGGAAGAAGGCCGAACCACCCAACTGTCTCCTCCCCTCCGCCGTTGGCGGTTGAGATTCGAAGAAGCGGTTTCAAGACGAGACGCCAAAGGCTCGCGAGGCGGCTGCGCCGATTGGCTGCTTCCCCAGCCGCCGCGCGACGAGATTGGCTGGCGGGATCGGGAGGAGGGCGCAAAATATAGGACGCTATTGGCTGATCTCGCTTTGGTCAACGAGTGAGGGACGGGACGGGGGGCGAGAGGGGAGCCTCTCTGGGATTGGCTCCTTCGGGCCTCAGCCATTGGAGGGGGCGCGTGTGAGGATGGGGAGCATGCGCAGCAGCGTCGGTGTTGAGGCCTAGTCGTAGTTGAGTTACCCCGAAGGTAAGTTTGGGAAGCCACCGCAGTGG